CCTCTGCATGTCACTGATTCTTCAGCATACAGCAGCTGTGATTGTGTGGCTCCTTCTCAATGTTGCCCTGCCTTGATTTTGTGCTGTGAAGGGTGTTTCTATGTTCTGGGAATTAAGTAGTATTCAGAGCTAAATATTTTAATTTCATGAAAAATAATTACAGGATAACCTGCAGATAGCTGTTTAGTACACTTTATTATGACAGTGTGTATGTGCAAGGAACCAAGCACTAGCTCCAGAGTTCTTTGACATGAGAATGTCTGCCTTCAGAAGTTTGGCTTTGTCATGGCTGATAAAGGAGATACTCAAGTGACAGAAATTTCCATAAGCCTGGAGGAACAAGGATGCACAGCGGCTACCAGCCCAGACATTTAAACAGAATTAAATGGCTCCCAGCCTAAAGATGAGGCTTTGTCTAATGGCTCCACTTCTAAAGAGACAATAAAGAAATATTTTTAAAATTCTGTTAGTATGCTGTGAAAAACCTACTTAGCAACATGACACCTGGAGGTTTAGGAGTAATTCTGACCTATTTTTTACTTCAAAATACCCATCTGGTTAATGGTTGGACTAAATGACCTTTTCCAGCCTAAATGATTCAATGATTCTATGCATTTATGAGATTAAAGCTTAACTACAAGCTGAAGATCTTTCCCTGTTTTAACTTGGCTTGAAAAAGTACTGTTGGTGTTGCTGAGGGAAAATGGGATTTTTGAAGAATTGCTTTGTTTTGATTTAAATAGCCTACAAGTAGAGAAATAGAATAGCACTCAGCTAAAGAGAAATTGGATCCTGAAAGGCAGAAACCCTCACTTTTATAAAGCTTTTTGTAGCACGACTCTCTTTTTGGTGTACTGTTTGAAGGCCATCAAACTACACAGCCTTTCTTCAAGATATGAATGAATGTTGCTTCCTCAGTGAATGAATGTGCTACTGAAGCCAGCATGATAGACCAAAGGCTTAGGGAAAAAAAACATCCTTTGTGACAGTCTCTGAGTGGTGGAGCATATGAAAAGCAACACAGAAAGTGTTGCAGATAGGAGCCATGTTGCACATTTCAACAGTCTTATGATTTTTGGGGTAGATATTTATGAGTGACAGAGATGACAGCACTGAGTTAGTGTCTAAAGGAAATAGTAGGTTTTCCACAGCCATTGAAATCTTCTTTTCAGTGTTTGCTTGCTGCTTCTTCTTAAAAAAGAATGGTTATGTTATTATTCCTATCCAGGTATTAAAGGCCCAGGAGCTAAGACTCTTGTATTACTAGATCATTGTTTGCAGGAAAAAAATTTAAATACAGTTAATGTTACCAGCATTTTTTGTAAAATTTAGGTATCTTATATTTTAAGATTCAGGTATCTTACATTGGTTATTAGGTTTAGCAAAAAAAAAAAATTTTCTATATAGCTGCTGACATTGTCACCAATTTAAAAAATTTAAGATTTGTTTCCACTTTTCTGTTTGGAGAGAGATGAGCTATTCTCTTCCATTCAGCCAAGGCAAAAATGAACATTTTACTGATCTTGTGATTTGCTTTCTCTTACTTAATTTTAATTTCATTACTGTTTTCCATGATAATGGTTAGTGTGACAGAGCCTACAGTGGTGAGAGAAGGGGAGGACACAAAATCTTCTGTGCCACATTTTATCATTCATGTCTGTAATGGGCCTATTACTAGGCATGGCAGGAGAGTTTAATGTGGGCATGAACAGTTACATTTTGTAAAATAGATCACCTTTCAATCAAGTCTGAGCATTTAATGGTCACTTGAATTAGTTCTGCTTAAACATCTAACATGCAACTCTTTGCACTGATGAAATAAGAATAAAATATTTTTGTCTTTCTGTGTCATCCATCAACTGTGAAATGTTTAACTAAGTCCTGACTGGAAGAGAATCAAAACAGCTTGATTTCAGAATGAGTTTTCTTACATAATTAGAAATACCAAATGTGTGCAAAAATCAGAGAGAAGCAGTATGTGTGTACTCAGTATCATTTATGTAGTCAGTGTTTTGAAAGATGGTGTCATTGATGGTACTACTTCCACTTAGACTCCTGCAAAGTAGTTTTCTGCAGTTTTTACATTCAGTTTTTGTCTAAAAGATAATTTTTACTCAAAAGTTCTTTCAAATTACAGAGATTATACGGATTCAACCTTTACCTACAGACTTGGAGGTGTTTAGGTTCACAGTCTTGATTTTCGTCCATGTCTATATTTACTGAACTCCAATTACCCTTTGTGTTAATTGATGACTTCAATAACACAATAGCAAGTGGATTTTTGGACATATTTTGTAATTGACAGAAGATATAGAAAGGTATTCTCAGTGACTTTTCAGGAGTAAGACCATAACATTTGAATTACCTTCTTGTTTATAAGTTTATGAAATGTAAAATACAGAAGCTGAGGGCAGGCTACATGTGTCTGTGTGTAGCTGTAGACTGACTCTTTAGGAAAACTGCCACTTGTAGATGTGGTTGAATGACTTTGCAAAGAATCAACTATGAAAATATATGGTTGTTTTATAAACTGCAAAATAACAATGAGATAATCAAAACAGCTATCAAACAGCTTTGAAATTTACCTGGTGTTTTTCAGGTTTTGTTGGTTGGATTTTTAATACAAATGTCAGTATAGACTGGTTAGACCTGGTGACACACCTGAATATAGAGAGCTGAGCTAAAAAATATGCCTCTTGTAAGACCTCATCAAACTTCCCACCAGTCTGATAAAATGTAATGATTAGCATGCTTCCCAAAAGCTAACAGCCCTAGGGGAGCAAGAAATATGTTATTGTGAGAATCCTTTCCTCAGGGAGGGTGTGTTCAGCTTTATGTAAATCTAAGCAGGATCCAGGATGCTTCTCTTCAGTGCAGGTGCAGTCCCCCAGTGAATGTAATACAACTTTCACTCACAGGCACAGCCAAGATACAGGGACACACCTGCATTTCATGTAAAGCCAGCAACCAATTTGCAAACATCTAATTTACTAATGAAATGAAACAATAGAAATGGCAGTAAGCAAGAGGACACCCCTGCATGAAACTTAATTATAGAAGGATGTAGGAAAAAATATCCAACTAAATGAAGGACTGTAAACAAGTGTGCAAGATTAATATGTGGATTTAAATTGCAGACACTATTCATATTTCCTCTTCCATGCCAACAGCAGAGCAGGTAACAGCAGGAAGATCAATAATGTAGGCAGCATTTGCATCATGGTCTTGGATGTCTCCTCTGTCATGTGTGTTTGTTTCCCTTGGTTGTGTTTCACAGTAGAGTGAGTAATGTGAAAGCAGAGGTAGCAGTAGTAGAGTCTTACTTGCTACTTCTTCAGCAGTCTCCCATCAAAACACAGCATTTAGCACAATAAAGTTTGTTCTTTACTCTGTGTGTGAGGTTCTTTGTCAGCAAGGTATGTTAGCTGAATATAACTACCCAGCCTCCCGTGCTTTCCAGTGTCTCTTTGGTTAAATCACGTCATGACTGACACCACAACACATTAGTGGGAGGATTGTTTATGAGAAAAAGGGAAACAAGCTTGACACTTGAGTTTACCAAGTTGTGGGAGCACAGATGCTCATCACTGCCAAGCACACAGAGCCGAGGTCAGAGAAATTTGTCAGGGAAAGCAAAGAAGCCTTGAAGCAATATTTTTTTTTCCTGTCTGGCAGAGAACACACATGAAATACTGTTATAGCTGAGCAGGGTCACTTTCCTCTATTCCCATAGGACTGCCTAGTTCCCTTTCCTCATTCCAGGCTCAAATGAGACATTGCAGAACATGCTCCTCTCCTTCATGTCTTCCCCTAGGGAGCTCAGCCCCTCTGTTCTGGGGGCTGATGACAGCAACAGTAGCCAGTGGGCAGGGCTCAGACTAGATGTTCCCTTTGGATGCCCTTTTTCTCTCCCTGGCATTGTTTTTGCTTGCTTCTCTACTGACCAACACTTCTTGCATCTCATTCTTCTGCATGGGAAGGTGTATCTGTGAGCAGGCCTGGTCAGCATGAGAGTATTGACACATGGGGGACCTGGGAAAACTCTTAAGGGTAATTAAAAAAATACAGATATTCCTGTGTTGTAGGCATGTTTTCGTCATGCTGTGACGAAATTTGGAAAAGGATTGTTTGGACTCAGTTGAGCTGTGTGGTTAGATAATAAATTCTACAAGAAGAGTAAAAGACATGGAGGTATTTGGAGGGCAAAAGTCTTTCAAATATAGCAATTTCTGCAGTAAAGGAAAAATTATGGGAGGACAGAGAACATGCACAAAAGAAGAAACTATTTGAGACCTGTGGGGAATGGAGTTGTAATAGGAGAATGCAGAAGATACTGGAGATGAAAAATAAAAAAAACAGATTAAAGCAAAAAGCCTAATCAGAAAGTATGTTTCTAACAACCAGAAGGAGGCACGAAGGGGAAAATTGGAATCTCCTGTTCCCATCAAGCAGAAGAGAAAGTAAGCAATTGGGAAGGTGAAAGCAAACATAAATATATTTGCATAGTAGATGGAAAGAATAGTTTATATGATGAGATGTATATTCATCTTGATGATGAAATGTGATGATTTATCTTCTTCTTCTCTTTGGCTGCTATGTCCTGAAAGAGCTGTGTTTCCCACTGTGTCTGAGTGATAACCCTGCGCCTTTCTGTTAAGGAGGATGCTCAAAGGAAGCAACACTGTGTTTTGGTTGATTTAAACTATAATTTATCCTTTATGAAATGTGAAATACAAAATTAAATGGTAGGGACGTGTCGTCTGCTGTTGTTTAACGTGTGAATAAAAGCTACTATGTTGGCACAATGTTTATGCTCATGATAAGAGCAGGAATAATGGAAATGTTATGTTGGCTATACCCAGCAGGTCCCCTCATTGACTGAAGCATCATGTTACTTCAATGTCCCAGAAATGTTGAACATGATTCCTGGAGGAGGATGAGCATTTCCTCCTTAGTGAGGAGGCTGTGTGTTTTATGTCTGTTATCCTCATTCCTTTCAGGGATCTCCTGCTGTCTGTGGCACTTGGCCAGGTGCTCTCCCTCCTTATCTGTGGCATTGGTCTCACAAGCAAGTATCTGTCAGAAGACTTCCATGCCAACACACCTGTTTTTCAGAGCTTCCTCAATTACATCCTTCTGTTCTTGGTCTACACAACAACGCTAGCTGTCAGACAAGGTAAGTGTCTCTCTAAAATTGTTTTATAAAAAACAGTGGGGATAAAGGCTTTTGCAGAACAACAACAAGCAATATGATTTAGACACATATCCCATCAACATTTTTCCATATTTATATTACCTGGAAATACATACTGGAGAAACTGAAAAAAGCACCAACAAACCTTCATTAGCAAAGAATGAGTAATTAGACCTAAAGGACTAAAAGGGTGCTACCTAAAAGCTAAAGTAAACATCAGTATTTATGAATTCTGATGGTTCTTGCCTTACTGGAAAATATTTCAAGTATGTTTTACATCTTTCGTAGACTAAGGAGAGTTCAGATACAAGCAAAGAAGAGCTTTCTAGTTCTAGATGCTGATCATGGCAATTCAATAGTTCACTTACTAGACAGAAAGAAATAGCAGCCAATTTTTAGCTATTGAGAAGTCAGGGATGAAGGGAAAGATTTTGGTGTGCTCTCTCTCTGGGGGGGAGGTTTGGGCAGAGCATGGCCCTGTCACTGCATTGTCATGGGGCCCGTGTAACCAATCTGACCTCCAAAATGGGAAATGAATTGCAGGATGGTTTGGTACTGTTTATCTAAGATGCTCTATTTGACAGTCTATATTTACTATGGGGGGTTGTGCCTTTCCTGCACAACCGTTCCCTTCTTTGAGATTGTGATTCTAGATGAGGTATGGGAAGTGAATGCATTTAAGTACGGTTCTCAGCCATTCTTCCTTTTTGTAATAATTTTATTTATTCACCTTCACGGAACACACAGATTAGAAGCTAAACAAAAGAGAAAAATTATGTGTTCTTCTGACATAAGGAGGGTAGGGCTCTGTGGAGGGTAACTCTACAAAATGTATTAGGCCGTGGTACATTTATCAGCATACTGGAAAGCTCATGTTTTCTTACAGGAACAATGATTTTTGGATCATTCTTTGATGTTTTAATGTTTTGGGAACATTCTTTTAATGTTTTGGGAACAACCCTGAAGCTTAAGTTCTTCACTCATAGTACAATCTTGTGATACAATGCTGAAAGTGTTCCAAAGCAACAAGGACTTAATTTCCATGCAAAAAATGAACAGTCAAAAAAATACCTCTGTACTCCAGCACAAAGCACTTAAGCATATTACAACATAAGTTTTATAAACATTGGTCCCCACTGGCATTTTGCAGAGGTGAGAAAACCAATGTGCAAAGGGAATGTTGACTCTTATATAAGGAGAGATTGCTCAGGCACTGTTTCACTGTCTTGGTATTTCAGTTTGTGTAGGGGGAAACATCACCATATACTTCGCTCTGCCAAAGGTTTAAAATGTGTTATTAGTAGCAGCTTTCTGGAGAACTGTGTTTAAAAATAATTATTCAGAGTGTGGGATTGCCTAGATGTTCACACGTTCTGTCCCAAAAATGTCCTTCTCTGGACTGATTTAATACTGTGCAAGGCAAGTCCCTATATGGACTCTTTAATAGATTTTACTTTTTTGAAAATGCTGACTTGTGAGAGGGTATACCCATATAGAAACTGCATTCTGCTGTGCATTACAGAGGCTAACTTAGAATAATGTTTGATGTCTGGTGTATATTGACATCTAAAAAATGCTATCAAACACTCTGCTTTACTCATACATAAATATGTGTTTAAAAGGTACTTTATAAATAATTTTCTGATTCTGTTTAAAAATAAAGGGAGTTTGTCAGAAAACTCTTGTTGTGCCAATATGATAGATTTGGGAACTAAGTGGTAAAGTGTTAGGAATATATGGAAAATATTTTCTGGACAAGTGAAGAGGGCTGGGGAAGGTGTTTTAAAAAACCTGTGGTTGATTACAGACCATACAAAAAACTAGAGTACATGCAAAGGGTACCAATGGAATTGTCTGGAAAAAGAGCTGTCAGAAAAACCCCAAAAAGATGGTTTCATCAAAAAAAATCCAAAATAAAATTGGCTACAGAAGCCATGGAAGCAGTGATCCAGGCATTCAGCATAACATTCCTGCTGGATGATATAGCACTATGCAGCCTATTTATTCACTCAGCATTTAATGTTGCCAGCTGACTGAGCTTGACATTGTATTTTTGCTTGTGTATTTATTCAAATTCATTATCTGTGTTTCTTCCATTAATGCAGTTTCTCTAGCAGCTCTAATCATGTGGCTTCATTAACAGATGGAAATCACATAATAATATTAATGATGATTCTGTTCTGAGTGCTGACATCAACAAAAAACTTTTTTCAAGTATAGTTCTTCTCTATGAAAGACTGAAAAATGTTTAAATAATTTTCTTTCTCCTTCAGAAATCAAACCATCTTAAATTGATTTGTAGTAAAAAATAATTGCATCCCTTTGTCTTTTTCTTTCCTTGCTTTATTAATCCTTGGGTTTTTTGCAGAAATATCATGTTTAAGGAGGTGTCACTTGATGTAGCCAGAAAAACACTGAATTCACTCTAGGACTGATAGCTATAATGTGATCAAGACATAAAGAGTTCCTCTTTCTGTAGAGGCTTCTTCAAATTTTGACTTACTCTGGGTGCCCTTTGACTCCTCACTGTTCTTATATACTCCTTGAGTGATAATGAAAAGGTAGAATTTGCACTGGTCTCTGATAAATCATCATTAGAAGATGATTAAAGCTCCTGACCTTTTCTGACTAAAGCCTTCTGCAGTGAATGCTCAGCTTCCAGCAGCTAAAGTTAGCCCAGCATCAGCAGCATCCACTACATTTTTATATTGTGAGCTGAGATTATTTTCCAAAACAATTTTACCACAGCACTCGATCTAATGGATGCAAATATTAGGACTGTTACCTTGCAATGAATCAACATATCATCGGATAGTGAAGAGGCACAGTCCTGCAGATGTCAGAATCTCTGAATTTTTAAAACTTCATTTCCATGTAAAAAAACAAAAACAAACAAAAACAAAAACAACAAAACAAAAAAAAAAAAAAACAAAAAAAAAACAAAAAAAAAAAAAAAAAAAAAAAAAACAAAAAAAAAACCCAACAAAACAAAACCCAGAGAACAAAACCAAAACCCCCAAAGAGAAAAGTTTCAAGGAGTAAGAGTACAATCAATAAGACTCGATAGCTGTAAGCAGTGAAGTCTATGTAAGTAAGGCTTTTTATCATCATTGCAACATTGTTCTCCTGACCAGAAATAAAAAGTGACAAAAGCATTTAAGAAGATTTGTTCCTGTGAGATTTTCATACAGGCCTTAAAACATGGATACCACTCAGGCAAAGATCATGAAAAAGTGAAAGGATTTGCCTAAATTTGGATTTTTCTAATGAAAAAGAAATCTGCCAAACATTGAAGAGGTAACGAGGTCGTCCTCAGTTCCTTCTCTTGAGGTAGCTTCCTCTCACTCCTGTTGTTTTCACAGCCAAAACTTGTGTTTGTCCATGGTAACACCTCTGAGAAGGTTTTAACACATATTATCTCACCTCAGCCTCTTCATTAGCAGAGACTCTGCTTAACAGAAACATTCAGGGATACTTCCCTGTATTCTCTGGGTCCTATGTCATTATTAGTGGAGGAAAAGAAAAATCTTGGCTATCAGTAAGAAAAACCTCTAATGGGTGAAATGAAGCTATGAGGGATAGAGCTGGTGGAGATTAGTTTTATCACCTTAAAAAGCAGTAAGTGGGAAGTTGTCCATAGTGGACCAGAAGGTGTTAATTGCTAACAGCCAACATGGGAGCAAGCATCAGCAGCTTGCCACCAAAAATAAATTACTTCTAAAAGCTATGTCACATATGCTACAAATGAAAACAACACTTCTACTAGACATCATTAAAACAAAACAAAACAAAAAAACCCCAAACTGCTATTTTTTTGTTATTCTGGAAAACAAGAAATGAGGGAGCAATGGAAGTGTCTTCTGAACAGACGGGAGCCATAAAGCCTTGAGGGCCAGATTCTGCGTGAGTAGGGCTCCACATTGCAAGCTGTTCCTTGAATTTTAGTGCAACAAGTTACTGAGTATTTTCAGCCTGCCCGTACTAAGGGGCGCAACAATTTGCTAGTTCAGAAACATTTTTTATGTATGTCTGTATGTCTGGATGAATTCTGCTTCTAGGCCAAGTGATGAAGTTATATCATCTGTCAATAGAGAGTTTTCCCTAGAGTAACTGTAATGTCTTAGATTTGACATATAATTAGAGGTGATCTGTACCCCTGAGTAAGCCAGAGAGTCCTGTGAGACTGGTAAGATTGCAAACCTCTTACTGGCATATAATTGTTTTTAAGCATTTTTATCTCAGGATGCTTTATGCCATTAGTATCTCAGCCATATGTAATTTCCTGATGTATCTGCTATCCATGTATTTCCATTTGTATAGTGGCAGTGCTCCCCAGCATCACTCCTACTTCACCAAGGTTAACCAAAGCCAGCTAATTGAAGGAAGATAGAGCACTATATAGGAGCTGCTTTTTTTCACTGCAGTGCTTGTCAACTATTTATTGAATGATAGAAAGGGTAAATGTCTTTTTACTTAATTGCAATCCGCTAGTAAAGGTATATTAATACAAAGCTAGTATTATGGACTTAACTTAGGTAGACATAACAGAATTTCTTTTAAACCAACATCTTTTTTTATCAATTGTCAGTAAGAACAATCTTGTTTGTCTGGGAAACAAATGAAGTATATTATTTAAGCTGATCAAACTATATTAGATATCATGTACTTTGGACAATATATGTTGTACTATTGAGATGAAATGTCTTCTGGAAAGGCATTGATCCTGTCAGAATTTCCTCTTCACTGAGGATGACAGGGAATGATTTTTATTAGAAGAGATTAATTTCATCACTATTCAGTTTCCTAAGCATGCTCATGCCACTGCTGTAAACAAAGAGGTTGGTTATCCCTCCAGTCAAATAAAATGTTCAAAGCTGCAGCTTCTACCTGTGATAGAAGGGGTCCTTGGATTCTCGAGGCAGCAACTCAGCCCACACTGTGTCCTGCAAACATGTGGCAGACATTGCAAGATGTGACATTGC